CAGGCCTGCCAGCTGGCGAGGCCTCGGACAGGCCTTTGGAAGTGCTTGGAAGGGTTCTGCTAGGCTTGGCCAACTGCTTCACCCTGCGGTGTCCCAGGCGCCTCCCCGCCTAGGCTTTGGCTATAGGCCGGGGTCGGCGGATATCCTCTCATGGACATTTGCACTCGTTCAAGTAGAATGGTGAATGATGGAGTAGGGGAGTGATCTACACATTTTGACAAACTCTAAGGTTTCTTCACAGGAGGCTGATACACTGAGGTTTAAGAAAAAATATCTCACGTCTGAACTTCATACAAGGAGATGCAAGATGATGCAAGTAACAAATCGCACATGAAACTGGACACTTGAAATCAGCATTAATTCCACTCAACGGCGCTTTGCAAGCTGACCTCACCAAACCTTGAAACAGCTTCAAAGACTTCAATTGATGGTTTTGTTATGTTTTGTTCTCGAAAAGATCAAAACAATCACCACACACGTAGCTCTGAGCCACAGAAGTGGCGCCCACTTCCACAGAAGTGGCGCCCTGTCACCCCTTCCCTCATGTCCGACTCATGTCCCATCCACTGCTTGATCTGTTAGACCTGAAATTGACATTGGTCTGACCGCAAAGTTCTTTCCTTTGTACGTGGAAAGGCGGTTCGGGGAGGTGCCGCTGACCCACTGGTCACCCGTTGGTGGCCTCTCATCGGCTCTGGGGTTCTCCTAACAAAGCATCGAAGTGGAGAGCGCGAAAAGAACACACAAAGATATATGCAGTATACAAAGATATATGTTTTTGATACGCGACACCTCACAGACAACTGAGCCAGTACCTGAGCCGTATCATTCCACGATGGGATCTCCTGCGCCGTCCTAGTGACCACTCTCATTTCTCTCCCGTCTCTTGTGTGGGCTGACGGCCTGCTGATTGGCTGCCATTTTCTGCGCAAATGAAGCTGACTCCTTCCAGCCTTGTGAAAAGAGTGTGTCGTTTTCGTCACAGAATGCTGGCCTTTCAATTGTAAAATACGAGGAAATTTCAATTCAAAGTGCAGTGGCGCTGGGAAAGTCCAATCGCATTGGAACTCAGCTGATGGAATGCGGAGTCACCTCAAAGGATACAGTCCCAAAAGCACGTGAATCGGGTTTGAATATGCTCATGAGGAGCTATATGTTCCAATATCGGCAAGTGTTTGTAGAAGATGAGCCGAATGTGCTCCGCGACATGAACTTGTAACAACACTGATCACTTGCCAAAAGAACAGCATGCAGTGGTAAACACGTGCAACAAACATGTGTGCAACACACAAAAGGTTGAAAAACAGGCATACTACCAGGTTCTGTGTATTGCTAGACCCGAAGACTAAAGACCCTGTGGGTCACTAACACAGTCAAAACTGTACTCTTCCCAAGAATCCAGGCAGCACGACCCGATGGAGATTTGGCAGGCAGGGAACTTGGGGTTTGGGCCGAAAGACGCAAACACTTCGACAAGGATGGTAGGACTTACGTCCTTTGACCACAACGTCTTGCAAAATGCAAGGGGAACGCACTCTTCGCAAAACTCACAAGAAGGCAACTAGCATTGTTGCAAGGAACATGTAACAGCAAAGGGTTGGGCCCCAATTGTTCCTTTCCTTCTCGTTTGAGCCAAACGCAAATTGCTTGAGAGCTGCACATGCCACGCAGTTGCTGTGGTCTGAACGTGTCGGACATGTTTGAGGTCTGATGACTCTTGACCAGGCGTGGCACACTGTGGGCCCCGAAAACCGAATTCGGAAGATTCATTGTGCATCTTTTTTATACATGTAAAAATAATGCACCTACTACACCTACTAGCAATGGCCTCCAACCTAGAAGCCATGGCCTCCAACCTAGAAGCGATGGCCTCGAACCTAATAGCAATGGCCTCGCTAATAGCTATTCGGAAGATTCATTTCATTTGTTCTCCATTCGCACAAGATGCGGAGAAAAACGCCTTCCGGCATTGAAAACGGGGCCAGTTCGATGAATTTCAGGCAGAGATGAAGCGAGTGAGCGATGACATCAAGGCTCACCTGATCAGTTGAGTGTCGAGATCAGCCTGACCCATTCGTCATGTCGAACCAGCCTGACCCAGAATGGTAATCTCGATGCAGCAGCCGCATCGAAGATCCACATCGGGCTGCAGGACACGAAAGATGACCATCGCAAAGAACTTAAAAATGCGAATGATGTCAGTTTGATGACCTTGCATTTTGCTTTTGTTCACCTTGTTTGTCTCTTCTTGCATTTGGGGAACATATTTTTTTTAATTCACTGAGCTGAATTCATGGCTGTTCAGGACTCGCAAGAAAGAGAAGCAGAACAAGAGGCTTTGAGTTAGTGTCATGAGAGCAGTGCAGAACATCCGTTTCTTCATGCTTTCCTGGAAGGTTCCTCGACCTCATCCAGCTTTGTTGCAGGCTAGAACACCATGGCAGTTTGCTGCAGCGGTTCCTTTGCGCAGTTGGCTTCGCAGCCATCAGTGCGCTGCAGTCGAGTAACTAGTAACAAGTGCATCGCTACTAGAAACAAGGGCAGTATGACTAGTAACAAAGAAGATCGCTACGAACGGAGCGATCGGACGCTACGAACGTAGCTCCTGGCCTACTAGTAACAAGAAGCTACTCAGTAGCTTCTAGCTACTCCCTAGCCCTCAAAAGCCTATTTAAACAATGGTCTTTAGATGAAAGACTATTCATGTTAAGATTGAAATGGTCTTTGGCCACTCACAACCATTCACGCTTCATACCTGCACACATGCACACAGAAGGATGTGTTTTCTTTTTCTTAGCGTAGCCAGCATAGTAATCACCGCGTCATAGTGCCTCTTGTCCTTGGCAAGTTCAAATCGCGGATGGATTCAGGTCAAACGCAGCCAAGAAAGCACATCAATCAGGAAATAGCACAAGTTGGTGCAAACAAGGATCCTCTGACGATCAACACGGTATTTCATCGTATAGAGCCTCCGGTTAAGAACATTAAATCACTTCCTTCAAACCAAACTCTTCCTGTGCACAATTGATTGGGAGGCCTCAGCCTTGTGCATTTCAGCAACCATTGATGACGCGTCAGTGGATGTGCACGGGAACAAATGCCTTGGATTTCACTTAAGGTACGTAATGGTGATTGAAGAACGCAATCACAGAGCACACAGTGTAACTGACAGACACACTGTGCACACACATGAACAATTGATGCACGCAAGTTACGTTTCATCCACCTCATATTGTCCTCATCAATGAAGGTGTGAGTAAATCGCGGATTGACTCCTTAGGAAAACCAAGGAATCCAGCGAGAGAGCTCAAGAGAGAGGCGAGAGTCGCAGCCAAACAAAGCAAATCGGACGTCCGCTCTGCAGAAATCGAAGCGCTTGCAGTGGTTCAAGCAAGCTAAGCAACTGAAGCGTTGAATATCGTGACATATATGCGCAAATACCTCATGTTACAATCCGAAACCATGTCAAGCGACACCCGTATTCCTTTGTGAGTTTTACTTGAACTTTCCTTGTTCAATCGTGCGTCAACAAAAAAATACAGCCTTGACACATGGAATTTCGGTGTCATTTCCCATCTCTTTTTTGGATAACCTGCCATGACCGGCCAAAAGCAATAGTCTCGTAGATTCAAATATGAGAGATCTTAAGAGCTGGAAGACGGAAAATAAACAAAGTCCACAAGCTCCACAAGTGATCCAGCCTGATGTGGGTCCAGCACAGGGCTTTGTAGACCTCCAGAAACCGCATCCCACAAGTGCACATGGCATCCGCGGTATGCTGCGTCCTTGGATCAAAACAGGTTGGACAGAAGGGACAGAACGGTATTGGGAGTTGGATTTTGGGCATTCAAAGTGAGCTGGTGATTTACCATGCATACCTATCGATCGCACCTAGTCTTTTCTTGGCACCATCATGCGGGCCAGTCACAGAAATCGGCCATGGGCTTCCATCAAATTGAAGAACTTTGCCAATGAGCTCCTTGGCAACGACAGGATTGACCGGGTATGGCCATTCTCAATTTTTTGGACTCGGAACCCCCGACATACATTGCATTGGACCGGATTAAATCAAGTCCAAATATCGCACACGAAGATACCATGACCAACATATCGTTGTCATGGACATCAAGGGCTTGCAGCAGTTCATCCGATAGCCAGCTCAACACGCATCTCCCATTCCAGGCTTTGCAGGTCATGAGATCTTTGCCAGCCTTTTTTTTCGCCTTAATTGGTATGGAGGATCGTGACCACCGTTTATCGATCCATGGTATACGTAAATTTTGTGATCAATCATATCAGAAAGAAGAGATGTCAAAACAACCGCAAGAATGCCAGGCCACCATCCTTACCAAAAATGGTGGCTGGCTTTGCTTGATGCGATTGGCCTTGCAGTACTGAAGGTACTTTGTGTAAGCAACATCCAGCTGGTTTTGTAAATCGCCAGCCCCAAACCACTGAAGGTCCTCGCAAAGTAGGAGCCTGTGGCAAAACCAAACGGGCCACCCCAACCCAGGATTCGTGTGGTCGATCAACCTCGAGATTTGTGTGACTTGGTATTGAAACATCTTGGGCCCTGGGAGGGATAGGATGAAACAGCTAGAGCTAGTCAGCTAGATCTCGAAGATTCTGGCAAGTAGCAGTGATCCACCATTCACTCCAAAGAGCAATCCAAGATGCAGCACATGCATCACGCACCACTTGAGACAGCCAACATGAAATCCAGTCAAAGTGAGCAAAGGGCCTTATAGGCAGCAGTGGCTTTCTAGATCTGTCTAGGATTTTAAGCCGAAGTTTGACCCTTCAATGAAAATATCCCGTCAAAGATGACCAAAACTAAATTGGACATCAAGTCTCATAGATGTCGCTCCTTAAGGCGCTGAGAAATGAATTCTGCCAAGGTAAACTCTTGATGAATCCAGTCACAATCAGCGCCGATGGTGTGATACAAGAGTCCATGGTCTCCCTTGTTCTGTGCTGGGCACTTGAAGCATGTGTTAGTCGCCTGCCAGCTGGCGTTGAAACGCCAAACGTCCCTGTGCCACTCCCAGTCACCCCTCAACTCGCAGAGGGCGAATTGCCACCCTGATGATGTGATTGGAGTTCCAGCCCATGCTACATCAGACTCTCTCAAGGGTCGTCCACCTTCTCCAAGTGTAGGGTTTATCCCTGTGAATGCAGCCTCAAAGGACCACACCAATCGTCGCCAGACTGCGTTCAGGGTTCGGTTTTTTTACCATCACAGCGTGAGGGCATGAAAACAGAAGGAATCTGCTGTGCCTCGAAGAGATTGGTCGAAAATGTACAATGTTCATCCAAATAGCTACGACCTTCTCAACCTTGTGCTGGGTCCAAAGTCGAGCTGCATCCCCATGAAGTCCCACTGGAATGTGGTTGACTGTGGCCGGGCTTTGCACAGCCCAGCTTTCGCCAACAGTCCGACTATGTTCCCAGAACTGTCGAACTTCCGAGCTTGAGATCTGTAAACCAACAATGTTGAAAAGATACGCCAGAACCCGATGGGGATGAATAATGGGGTAGGATGCCGTGTAAATAGAGTGGGGCTGCTTCAAGCTTTGCACTGGTACTTTGATGGTCTCAATTTCCTGATTCTCAAATCCACAAATGATCACTGCCCTGTGTGCACTTGTATGTGGATGAAATTATCAATACCCGGGGGACCTCTTGGGTTGAGAAAAATTACAAGCGTTGTACAAACTATTAGATTGAAATGAGATTCCACAGGAACATCAATAGCTTGCCAGAAATCACGAACATCATTTCTTCCGGAGCAACCTGCCAATCTTGCCAGAATTGGATGTGTTGTAGTTCCAATATCCTCAGGGAAGAGAATCAAGGTTCGAGTGTCCAGTGTCCAGGGTTGCCGCCCCCAACGCAAGACCAAGGCTCTGATGCAGCGTCACGAATTCGTCTCATCGCCAGATGAATCGAAGAGGCCTTGGGAGCAGGTGGATGATGAATGGAGGAGGGAATGTGAACACCCTGGGATTATAAATTAATTTATTATTTTCAAATTTCATGCATGATGGTGAAAGGAGATCGAGAGCTTGTCAGATTATTGTCTTGGGACTGAAGCCAGCTAGCTGACATGCAAACAAAGGGCCCCTGCACTGATGTCGTCGCAGTGACCTATGAAGGATTTCGGGAAGTCTTCATCACCTGTGCCGGGCTGGGAGTCAAAATGAAAGTGACCTGAGTTCTAGTAGAAGCAGCCTTGCAAATAGTTGATATATTGATCGATGGATCGATCCTTGCAATAGCTGTTGCCATATATTGGGACGATATCGAGCTTGGAATGTTCAAATCGATCGACATCGAGACACAAATCGAAACACGCTTTTTTTGATCGATGGGTGCTGTTGTGTTGTCATGACCCTTCCCTCATGAGCCTTTACTCCACCCTGAGAGCTGCATTATACATTCGATATAGGATCAAAAGAGATATCGGCATCAATCATGTATGATGATGTACAAATGTGCTAGATCGACGACACGTGTTGTTTGTAAGGTTGCCCCCATGGATGGAGATACCTAGAAGGCCATCGCTATCAAAATCTAGAATCCACTTGACATGTTCGGCGATATCGCCCACAGTCACACCATTCCTCTGTTGGTTACACAGAGGCCCTAAGGTGCCCAGTGAGCGCTGACATCAACCAGACACATTTTAAATGTCAAGGTTTGATGTTGTAAGCTTTGCAAAAAGAATCGAACTTGTCTCCGACCGTGGTCGCATCGGCAATCAGATCTGGCAGGGCTCCATAATCATCCACCTGGCTCAACTGATGTGGGCCCATGGGAGGGTACATGTGCAGTCGTCTGCTAATTGAAAAGGACATCCCAGTTCATGAATGATATATAATCGATCGATCATGGTACAAACAAAACATTGTCTCAAGGTGTGCATGCATAATCTTCAAATCAATTTGTTGCCGACATCACAGCAGGTTTGCACCTTGGCTTCGTCGATGGCCGCTTGCAGCTTGGACCGGGCTTGTTTCATGGCTATGATGTGGGGCTGGACTTCCTTCTCGATGGCCTTGACAACGTGTTCGCTCCTTTGCAGGGCTGGATGAGATTGGGCCAAATCACTGGTACTTGTGGTTTGGGTATGGGATGATTGAAGTTGGTACGGAATTAAATGTTAACAGAATCGCTCGATCTAACACGACTCCCCATTCGATGCCTCATGCAGTACGCAAAGACTTTCCCGCACAGAAAGGGTCAAACAACAAATTGTTCCGATTTCAAACTGATTCTTGGAGTCTTGGTGCGATTGTGATCGTACCATTGCAGAAGACACGACCCGTCTTCGATTGGTTCAAAAAACAGTACCACCAAAACGCCAGATTATGCATATATATCGATGTCGATCTACGCACTCTGAGGCTGCAAGAGCCAAGAGTCTGCTTTACGAGTTTTTCGTCCAGGCTTGAAGCTTTGTAGATCATGTTGCCCAGCTTGCTGCAAGCCTGTTCGGAAGTAAGCGTGATCGATATGATAGAGTGGATCGATATCCAATATTTTTTTACTTGATGATCATGATATCATCCCTGGTCGATTTGATTTAGTTAATTTCAAGATTGGCGATATTGGAATGTGTTTTTACATGTGCTTCCGTAATGCAATGAAACTCCGACACGTCTGCAGCCTGGTTTCCTTTCCGCTGCTCTTTCTTCAGAGCATCATTCTTGATCTTTTCCTGCCTTCTCTTTTCAGCTTCCTTTTCCTTCTCCAGCTTCTTCCGTTCAAGTTCGGCCTCCTTCTCTTGCTTTTTCTTATCTTCTTCTGCCTTTTTCTTTTTCTCTTCTTCTTCCTTCAAAAGGCGTTTCTTCTTTTCTGCTTCAGTCTCGGCCTTTCCTTCACCACTGGGTTGGATCTTCGGCTGATCCTTCACTTTTTGCTTGCGCCGCTTGTCCTGCGAGGTGGCGGTGTCAGAAGCTCGATCAAAGCATGAAGCGGAGGCAGGGGGGCACGGGGTTCAAGTGAACTCCACCGCCAAGCGTTCGAATTTGATTGGTTATAATATTGGATTATTCTTTGCGGAATGGAAAGGAGCTAGATCGATAATCTGTCGACTAGTACATGATATGGCCAAAGCACGACAGAAAAGACAGCCTAGCCTGAACTTCAGCCGACTTTGAACTCTCGGACTTTCCCGCACTAGAAGAGCTGCTGGATGATGAGGGTTTGGAACTTCCCGAACATGATGAGGAAGATGACTTCTTCTTTTTTCTTGTTTTTTCTTGTCTTTCTTCAGCTTCCTTTTGTCCTTGCCAGTCTTGGTCCCCTTGCTAACCTTCTTATCCTTCTTAGTCCGCGACCTTCCTCGTCCACGACCTTCCTCGTCACCTCCTTTCTCAGCCGCCTCAAACAATGAGCTGGCCACTTCATCCGTCGTGTTTTCTTCGCCTTCACGATCCCAGATGAGATATTGCCGAGATTCCTGCGCCAAGAGCTGAATAATATAATTGTTTTGAAAGCTGATCTCTCCAAATGAGACAACTAACAACTCGATGATTGACATCGTCAGCGGAAATTGGCACACTGAAGCTTCACAAGAAAGACCATTTTCCAAAGAACGCTCCAAAGATCCTAAACCATGATTCGGTAAGAAAAATCATTCCGAGATTCCAACAGCAGGTTAGGATGATGTGAGACTTGTTGTTTTTTGACTTGAGATGCCGATCAAGATCATGGATTGTTGTTTTTCGCACCTTCCCCCCCAATCCCACTCAGCTAGATCTGTCCTCCGTCTCCTTTCCATGTAAATCAGGATTCGACCTCACTTGTTGCGACCTGGCTGGCTCTTCCAAATCCAGCTTCGCCTGTATGATTTGAGACGCCAGCTCTTGGGAACCAGTTTTCTGGATGATCTCGGTCTTGGTCATCCACCGGCGACATCCGAAAGTACGGTGACGCCGTTTCATTTTGAGCTGGATCCAAAAATCGCTTTGCCTCCAGACCCCCTCGCACTGAGTCCATTGTTCCATCAATAACTGTAATCGATCCGTGTTCCTGTAAGCTGCAGCGCCTGCAGCCCTTATCTCAGGGGGCGTCTTGGGGCCTCAGATGTGATTAAAATTCCAACGATCATTCCAAAGATAGAAGAACATGACATCGACAGTGACACCCGTGAACAAACAACATGGCACAAGTCATGGCACACATCCCCAGAGGAGGATATAACAGATGTGATCGATACACCATCGCTGACCAAACCCCATCCTCCAGAAAGTTGATAACTGAGGCGCTGGTCAACGATCTAGAGAAGCGCATATACCGCGCGTGGGCTTCTCGTCGAGCCCTGACAACTTCAGCTTTCTTCCTTTCTTCTTCCGAGTCTTCTGACTCTGATTCTTCGGGTTCAGGTGATGAGGCTCGATTCTGTGTCTCCTTTCCCTTCTTCTCTTCCCCCTTGTCTTTCTCCTGGGCCTTCTGTGTCTGGATCTCCTTTGCCTGCGTGATCTTCGCCTTCTCTAGATCCTTTGCCTTCTTCTCTTTCTCCTTCGCCTTCTGTGTCTCCTTCTCCTTCTGTGTCTCCTTCTCCTTCTGTGTCTCCTCCTCCTTCTGTGTCTCAATCTCCTTTGCCTTCTTGCTATCCTTTGCCTTCTTGCTATCCTTTGCCTTCTGTGTCTCGATCTCCTTTGCCTTCTTGTTATCCTTTGCCTTCTGTGTCTCCGCCTTCTGTGTCTCGATCTCCTTTGCCTTCTCGGTCTCCTTTGGCTTCTCTTTCTCTGTTTGTGCATTCGTATCTTCTGTTTCAAGTTCCTCTTCTACCTCGCTCTCCCTTTCCTCTGCCTGCTCTTCAACCTCTGGCAACACTTCTTGCGTCGCTATGGCATGGGCCAGGTCTTGAGTGGAAGACCTTCCAAGGCACTCCCTCACAGCTGTTGCGTGCGGGTCGCTTTCTTGTTTCGGCGGCGCCGCTCTTGCTTTGACAGCTGTGGCAGCAGCAACGTGTGGAGTAGGAGTGAAGCTCACCTTCGAACCTGATTTGGGCTCGTGGGACTCAAGGTCTGAAGCGCTGGGAGACTGCTTGATGGGAGCTGTCATTCGCTTCAGCTTTGATTGTCTTTCATCTCCAGCATCCTCCAAAATCTTCTTTGACTGAATCTCTCTCTTGAGAGCAGGAGGCCTGGCCTGCCGCTCTTCTGAGTTTGGTTGTGTATCTGCCCATGCCCTTGCCTCTGCTGTGCCGGCTGCTGCCATTCGCTTTGCTACTGGTGTCTTGGCAGGGACTGTCGTGGCATCCGAATCTGGCACGACAAGCAAAGATGGGACAGATTCGAAACAATGCGGTCCAGCTGAGAAACCTACTGCAACAGGTTTTCATGAAAACATCGACCTAGCAATCAAGACAGCGAGAGATCGGATGATTACATCACATAACATGTATTAGGCGATGTTTTCACCATGATCGCCTCACAGGAAGATTTGATGTACTCTATAAACGACATTATGAAACTACACATGTGCGCATCGGGAACTGAATACCTTGCCCTTGACACAGGCTGGAAGAAAAGATAGCCCTGGTTGCCGAACGAGGCCTGCTTCCGGTGGAGTTCTTCTTTGCTTCTTTTAAAGCTTCGGTCCTGTCGCATGACCAATGCTGAGCTCACGACCCCAAAAAGGCTCATTGGCAAACCCCATCATGCGATTGAATCAGATAATATTTTCCCGGTTTCCTAATTGTCCGGACTGCGTGCAAGGATTTCCACAAATTCATCAAGAGGTTGGTTTGATTGTAGTTGCGGGCTCCATCACTAGTAGAACTCTGTTCAATCCCTGAAGACATATCAGCCCAGCATCTGATCAGTCCTGCCGGCATCACCTTCCTCATTCTTTTGGCGATTCCGGTCAGCAAGTCTGGCCGCTCTAAGCGCGGCCCGCTCGAGAGGATCACTCATGACCCCCAGGATCTCAGAAGGCCAATAATGGCTGAGGTATCCAATTCCATGATTCATTCGACTCCAATTTCTGATTGATCACTAAAACATTCCACCAAATCGATAGGACCTAAATACAATGGATCATACCACAAAATAATCGATTTGGTGCTGGTTTTGGGGTGATTTTGAGGCATCGGACGTTCACGCCCAAGAATGGCTGTTCACGTCCAAAAACGGTTGTTCACGAAAATTTCACGGTAGTTCACGACTTTTTCACGGTCCATTCACGGTAGCGGCGTCCCTCGACATGGTCAGTTTCTAATGGTTTCTACTTCGATGTCCACCCGAAGATTGCAGGATGTTTGCTCACCCTCAGGCCTATCACAAACCAAATTAGCATCAATTAATTATGTTTGATCTTCAAACAATCAATGTTGATCGACCATGAATAGATGAGTTCCCATTGTGACTATCACCGACTCCTGAGGCATGGGCGAAATGGTTGATTACTCCGAATTAGCGCGTTGTGGGAAGTGGGGCCCACAACATCTAGACATATCTAGACTAATCTAAAATGGTGCTGCTTTGCATGCTGTCAGGCTAATCAAGTCCGACAGTCAACAAGGGGTGATATCTACCGGCATCCCTCTCAGCCACCAGAAAAGCTTGCATCCTTGAAAGGCAAGCGTGTCTCCAGCGGTATGGAGCCTCCCATGGCAATCCAAAGACCAACTGACCCAAAACACATTTTTTTGATTTGATAAGGTCGAATCAGTCCAATTAGGAAGCCTTGATCGACCAACCTGCCTGGGGCACCTTTCTCAACGCAGCTGCATCAAGCTTGCCGCCAGGAGGAAAGAGCGACTCCTGCAAGATCTGGATATTCGAGGCATCATCCTTGGCGATCAGTCATGCGGGTTGCGGGATTGGTTGGCCCGGCTCATCGAGACAAAGGGTTCCAAAAGTATGTGTGCGCTTAGTGGTTCCGGAAGATTGCAAAACCCCTTCATGTCAGTTTTCAACCTCCCAAAATAGGGGCCCTGTTCCATTCCCTTTTGAATCCTTATCCCTGAAAGCAAAACTGCGACCCTACCCACTGGAGTAGCCATGGAACCATCCAAGCCGTGTGGTGCTTGCAGACTGCATGCCCATACATAGCCGGGTAGATCTGGGAGCGCTTCAGTAGCAAAGGGTTTCCGCACCTGGGTTACGACCACAGTGGGATAATTCAAACGATCTTTGGAATCCAACACTTCCCAGTTTTGCTGAGTTTGGCACACCCTTTTTTTTCCAGAAGAGTCTTTGTACTTTTTCACCACAGCTTTGGCTTTCTTAACACGTTTCCGCGTGGCAGGTGTCATTTTCTTATGTAGACGGTAGGACCATGGCCTGGGCCAAGAAAAACTTTGATCGAACATCGATCATCATGCATTATATCATGCTTGAACATCACAAGTTTTGAACGTCTTTCCAGAGATTTCCTGAGTTTCGTGCGCAGACCCGAACACCACTGTTGGCTTGACATTGGCGTGACCGTAGCAAGCCATCGGACTTAGTGGATCGAAGCATAAATTTTATATGGGGCTATCGTAATATGTGCCCAATTCAGTCACGCTACACTCTAACTTCAGTGGTTCACACCTCACTGACCTGAGGTCCCAGCAAACGAACTTCCAACCAGGGGAAAAATACTGAGACCACTTTCATCAGCCATCGGATATAGGGAAAGGCAAGCATGAGCGTACTTCCCGGCTGCTCTATGAGGCAAACCACACACCGAACAAAGCATAGTGTCAAGAGAAGCACCATGCGACATACAATCCTTAGCTGGACAAAACAGCGATAATCATGACATTAACACCATGTCACATGTAGTAGGTCCGAAATCCAAACAAGTTTCTCATTGGCCATTGTAACATAGGACCGGTGGTTTCCTAGCGGCTTGGTCTTGCTTCGCCCAGATGTCCACCGGTTGATGAACACAAAGGACCCACATGGGGGTCCTGCGTGGACGAGCCCGCCCGGTTGCAAGCGCAGGCAAAGTTGAATCGCTTTCAAAAAGCCTTGCCTTGGCACCATGGCGACGATGTTGACAAGCGTTGGTTGGGATGGCGATGGTGGTGGTGGGTATCAATTTGTTTGACATTGCACTAAAATCAAAAGCCAAAGTGCGTCTCACAAATGTCGCCGCTGACACCATGAGTTTCTTTGTCAAAAGGCTTCCTCGGTACGTATCGTAGTTACCAGGAATACCATGGAATACCAGTGAAAATGAAACGATCGAGTAAGGTCTTGGCGAGTTTAGCTCTTCTTTGACTCGGATCAGCAGTGACATCATGAACAATTACAACAGATCAAACACCCACTTGATGAGTGCAAACATTGATGACAGAGAGTTCATCACTTGAGGTACTTACAATGGAACCTGGCAAATTGTTGAGGACCCAGCCGAAGGCACGGTTTACCGCCCCATGACCAGAAAATAGATCGACATTGTGGAGGTCCTCAATTAAACATGCATAGTCATCGCAATCATTGCGGTACTTTGACACCAATGCTAATTCATGACATGAGCTGGGTGGGGCTGTAAGAAATGATCCAAGTTTGCCACTCTTCGGCTCTGGCTTCGAGGGGTGTTCTCCACCACATAGTCGATGCAGTGTAAACTGAGTTGCAAGAAAACAACATGTAACGTGCATCGCTATTTGACACATTCAGTTTTTGTTTTGCGACTCATGGATCCGACCCATGAACCCAACTGGTAGGGACTTAGTGCAAAAATGGAAATCGAAACCAAAGGTCACTTGTTTCACTCGAAGAATGCAAGAGTTTCTCAAACCACAGCGGTGGGTTACCCATTGTTTCATGCCTCCAGGCAGCAAGAGCAGTGGCAGCCCAAGCCGGACAAGGAGCTGGGATTGGCGGGACGTCAACGCCAGGGGCGATGTCGGTGCCATCGAAACCCGACCCCTTCAAATCTAAGCAACACCGATACAAAAGCACTGCGGTCTTCAGAAGTTCACACGTGACTTTGCGTGCATGATGCATGACGCATGAGTCTATAACAAAGAGTTGGGCATTATCAGCAGTGAGGAATTCCGTTTCCCAGGCACAAGGTGCATGTGTCTTGGTGTCCATCGTAGTCAAAATGTGTGTAGTTCACACAATCTACATGTTCTTCGAAAACGAGATCGCATCTAGCCAGGGGCCCCTGACCATTGCTACTTGGTAGACTCTTGGAAACAAGAAACAATCAAGAAGAAGGGATGGAACAGATTGATAAATTAATAATAGGAGGCTGGTTGCTTTCGATAGTCTAGCCAAACTGCATGCAATGGTATCGACCCATGCCCCTCTATGCTAGCTGCTAGGCACTCATTCAAGAAAAGTCCGCCATGAATCTTTTGTAGTTCAAGGCGTGTCATCATGATTTAACATCTCATCACTGTCGGGCTCATTCTCGTCAAAAGATTCCCAGCCAGCAAGACGCTTGGCAATGGGCCACCTAGGCTGCCCAGTCATGAAATTAAGGTGGACAAGGTCTCAATCTCAAAACATGTAGCAGCTATTTTATTTTTAATCGAGTTGCGCGGCAAGGGCTCCCCAAAATTTTGCCCATGAAAGAGAAACTCCCCTGCGAACGTTCACCTCAGATGAGCAATATTATATAACGAATCTATGATAATCTATGGATCGATCGATACGAGAGAGAGACAGAGAGTTGTCCGTGGGATCGATCTATAATATCAAACATCGGAATATCATCGATCAAGCCATGTTGCATTGAGGGATAATTTCATGGCCTGATTGACTTTGCTGATCCGGGTCGTGTTGGCGCCGTTGGCAAAGTATGAGCGGGTGTGCAACCTCGCAACAACACAGGGTTTGAAACCCAAAGGACCCCATAAATGTCATGATGGCTATCTTTCGAATTCAACAAGATTTATTGCCAATGACAATTAATTTATATCGATTTCCAGGGACCAGGCATGATCCCAATTGTTCCCACTTCGCCAGGAACCATGTCTCTCCCTTCTGTTGGGGGGCTTCAAGGTGAAGCTCCTAAGTTTGAGCATGTTTTGTTAATGTTCAGAATCTTCAGAATCAAGATCTAGGCTATAGTATCTTGACCAAACTCATGAAACATGATGCAGGCATACTGCACTCTTTTTTGGGAACCTGAGACCCAGTCTTGAAAGGGATGACAGTATCCTGCTTGTACTGCTTTGCCACCGCGAGTGCGTGAACCTCCGGAGGCAAGATGAACAGGGAGTCGGACTTGGCCACCTGGTAGATCTCGAGGAGCGATTGGGCCTGGGCCATGGCTAGGAAGATTTAGTTGGAAGTTGAGGGTCTCAGATCTTGCATGTATGATCAGGGCATCTCCATAATTTTCGAACAATGATTGAGATCATTTCAGAATTGCGGGACTTTTGATCCTTAACTGGGTCAATAAGATGGCTATGGAAATTGAGAGAACATACCTATGCGTGCTGCGCGCTGGACATCCCACTATGATTTGCTTTTTCCTAATCCAATAGGCCCAATAAGATTGAACAATCCCAAAATTACTCTTCTTTACAAATCAACCCGCGTGATATCTTCACCTGATCGATCATGTACACCAAGCGGCCATCATCTCTTGCTCTCGAACTTCTTTGTCTTTGTTCTTCTCATCTTCACCTTCCTTCTCAGCTTCTTTGAAGTCGAGTTTCTTCTTGACTGGGTCATTTCTCTTTCTGACCGCACGGGCAGCAGCTCGGCTGGCTTCCTTGAAAGGGCTGCTCTTCTTTGGGGTCTCCTGCTTCCTTTCCACCTCATGTTCTGCCTTCTCCCGCGACTTCTTGGTGGACACTTTGGCCTTTTTGGACTTGTCCCCTTCCGATCCTGCAGTCTTTTCTGCTTCCGCCTGTGACTTCTCTGGGGAACGGGTCCTCTTGGTCTTGATATCTTCACCACGATCTTCAACCTTCGAGGGGCTGTCGACATCCTCCTCCGAAAACAAACCTTGTTGGTTGTCAGGGGACTCCTTATTGGGTGGAGCCTCCTTGGCAGCGGCGGAGGTCTTGGTCTTTGGTGTTCTTTTCTTTCTTGGCTGAGCGTCTTCGCTGACTTGTCTTTTTTTCTTTGCATCAGCAACCTCTTGATCTTTGCCATCCCCCTCAGCGTCCTTCACTTCACAATCCTCTCCTTTCTCCTCTGCAGGGCCTGCTTGTTGGTCAGAGCCCGCATCTTTGGCATTATTTTTTCTTCGCTTCGGTGGTTCTTCTTCATGGGCCTTCTCCTCATCCTCCGGCTTCTTATCTTCTTTCCTCCCTCTACCACGTCCGCGCCCACGCCCACGTCCACGGCCTCTCTTTGTTTTTTCTTCAGACTCTTCTTCTGCGGCCATGAGCTCCCTGTCCTCATCTTCGACTTCATCGTCGGCCTCACCCTCTCGGAGAGTCTGACGCATTTTCTTTTGCGCCGCTAGGATGTCTTCTTTGTTGCTATTCTTGGTTTCAGCCATGATGCGGTCGCATTTTTCTTCATTTGCTTTGTTCATGTACTTCTGGCCCTTCACCGTTGGGTTGCCAGTGGCATCTTGAAATGCTCCACCCTCCATGTTTTCATCACTATCAAGCAGCACAGTGGTTTCCGCAACCTCTTCCTTCGGGGTCTGGACAGCCTGGGTCTCAGCAGCCTCCTTGGGGGGTCTGGACAGCCTCCTGGGTCTCGATCTCAGCAGCCTCCTTGGGGGCCTGGACAGCCTCCACAGCCTCCTGGGTCTCGATCTCAGCAGCCTCCTTGGGGGTCTGGACAGCAGCCTCCTTGGCGGTCTGCGCAGCCTCCTTGGGGGTCTGGACAGCCTCCTTGCCGGTCTGGACGGTCTCGATCTCAGCATCCTCTTCATCCTCTTGGGTCTCAGCAGCCTCCTGGGTGGGGATAGCCTCATTGGTGGAGGGGTTCTGAACCTCCTCCTGACCAGAAGTCACCGGGTCACGTAGTACTAGAACCGGGTGTCCATCAATTTCATCCACAATCTTCCACTTCTTGAGAAACTCTTTGGTGGGCGTCTCCATCAGGCCTGTGGCGTGATCAGGCATGTACTCGAGGGTCTCGGATTCATCTGGGTTCGGGGGTCTCGCGGTAGGTGGGGCTTCATTCTCCTCCTTCTCTTCTTCATTCTCCTCCTTCTCTTCTTCATTCTCCTCCTTCTCTTCTTCATTCTCGCTGTTTACCTCTTCCTCAGCTTCGCCTTTCTTCTCATCACCCAGGTCCTGGCCGATATCGACATTAGAATCGAAAGAAGGCTTTTTTTTGGCACATAGATCGTCGATAAATCATATCAATTAGGGTCGTTGCAGCAGAAGGTGATGATTCAGTGGTGATGGATGAACATGGATTCCAACATTATTTTCAGTGGATCGATGCGAGCCCAAAGGTTCCTTGCTTGATGAGCTTCTTCCACGGGTTGCCACCTTCCTTCCCTCCGGAGTGAGCAAGCCTGCGGCCTGCCACGCATATTTGTTGACGAATGCTGGACTACTGTAATTGCACCAAAAATTGAAAGGAAGCCCTGCTTTGTCAATTAAGACATGACTTCACATGTAAAAAGGATCAAATAGTGGGTCAAAAAAATGTCAAAAAACATTTGATTTAAAAGATCATCGTCATTAGTTGTCAAGCCTTGAGTTTTTGGTGGATGACGTTCTTGATGCGCTGCATACCCTCATGCGCACGTCCTGGCCTAAGTTTCGAGGGGGTAGCAAGTAAAATAAGAAGACTCAACATGGACCAATGAGCCGATATACCATACAGAACAAATTCAACATCAGACTCAGGGAAACACCTGGCAGTTGGTGCCTTTTGGAAACGTAGCATGCAATAGGACGCAAAGCCCCGTTGCACGCCCGATTCAATAGAAGCCCACGCCTAAGGGAACTGTGCTGAACATGGCATCCAGCAGTTCATGATAAGCAGGTGACAGGTCATGAAGTCAGAAGTTGCTATGTTGAGCAAACTTCAATAAAAATCCCAACTAAGATGGCTACCTCATGCTCTGCCTCTGTTCGGAGATGTGGATTCAGTGCATATGTTTGGCTGATCCAAACCAGAGCCGCCTGGCCACCAACGGTTGCGGATCGATCCGTGAATGATGCAAGATGCATCATGTAGGTCTCGACAGATCTATCGTATACATGCATGATTAACATGATTCATGTGGCAAAGCGCATTAGTTGATGAATGCACCATTGAACAAATTGTGTGGTCCTCCACTTCCGTATCGGCCGGGAGCTTTTCAGCAAACTGCGCCAAGTACTCTTCCAAGAAATCGACATTTTCCTGTTGCTGGACCTAGGCTTGTATGATCTGTTACTCCTAGTGCTAGCGGTGCTAGTCAGTGTCAAAGCTGCTGTGCATGTGGTACACAGTTGGACATCACAAGTGCTTGTGAGCCACTTCGTTCTCAACGACTTTGCTTCCTTGAGCAAAGCGGGTTACAAACGAAAAAGGGATCACCTGAGCTCTGAATGAACGATCATTCGCAAAGATGCAAACATTGAAAATGGATCGAAATTTACATGCACCAGAAATGAACATTCGATCATTGCCAAAGTACAGATCGATCCTTCTCTCGAACACCCGCACGTTTTCGCAAGAGTGCCCTGCGATTGGGGATGTAATCCTTCTGGTCCAACAAGTCGCTATAGAAGGCCTTGCCAACAATCACATGATGGCATAGTTCGAACTAGATACTCGATACGATACACGTGTCACAAACTCAATCCCAGTGTGTTCCAACCAACCCTTGCCACCTTCAGGAGCTCAATGCGATCTGCGCTAGTGACCGCTGGTTCCGCCATTGCAGAAAAGTCAGCTGATACCGGTGGCTGCATGTGGTTCTTGTTTCTTGTTTTTCCCTATGGGGTGATGGGTGATTATAGTGTGGGTTTTGAAGCTTGGTGTCCAAGACATTGAGCACCGTTCGAACTATAGATCAATTGATCCACCACACAAATCGCATCAAATCGTTCAGAAAATGCATCCAGTCATGCTCACACCTCTTCCAGCTAGCAGTTAGTTGAACAAACACGGGACAGCAAGAGGTGCACGCCTCCTGTCTCCACCGGCAGTACTGGGTGATCATTGGCTATGTTCAAATCCTCTGCCAATCCTGAGGTTGGCTGGTAGGGAAAACTGAGTTGAACAGTTGTATGATTTGCCATAATCATCAAATCAAAGCGCTTGGTCAAGTGCAACTATGCCCCCTACTTCTTTTGAGGGCCTTCTTGATCCTCATCACATGTTGCCTGAGCTGGGGTGCGTAAAACAATTTAAACTGAATTTCCACATTGGTGCATATATCAGGCAGCACTGCTGATGTTCAGGAAATGCAGCCCAAGGTACGTGATTCCCTGACGGCTGGATGGTCTCGTCCATGTCAGCGCAACGGTCGGGTGCTGGGATGTCAAAATTGATAAAATGGGTGGATTCTTCAGAGGATCTCAATGGTCAGACTATCTTGTCAGTGTTTACATCATTCTCTGATCCCGGGAAAGTTCTTGAATCAAGTTGGGATGATTCATTGATAAGGGCAGAACTGAGCCACAAAGATCATAGTCTGGATCAGGCCAGAATCCTCTTGTTGCCAAAAATGGTCTCACCCCGCTGGGCTATTGTTAAAATGGTCTTTGACACCCAGGGTACTAGTAGCGATTGTTTCGAGGAGCAGAGTGGCAAATTGTCCAAAGAGTCGAAGAAGACCGCACGACATGCCTCGCATGCCTCGCATGCCGCCTCCAAGGCACTGGGCGGATCAGATATGGAAAACAAAGCATGTCTTATTGGCTGTTTCGAATAGCTTTTTGTTACTACTAGTAAGGCACCTGTTACTACTAGCGTGGCACCTGTTACTACTTGCGGAATATTAGCAAGTCATACATGAACATGTGCGAGTTCTTGTTGAGTTGAGTTGCCTTGGAGTGCATCATGTTTGTTACACAGGAACGGTGTTGAAGGTAGAGGCCTCTACATAGGCCATACGAGGAGGACGTTAGCGCTGCCCAGGACGTGGCAAAGGGCCATGCTGTCAAGAGCCGTGAAAATGCTCTCAAGAAGCACAAGGAGCGGAGTGAGGCAAGTAGAGCGAACACAGTGAGTGGGGCAGACCGTCACACACACCGTCACGACACCACAGCAGAATGGGCTTCTTGGATGTTGGAATACCTTGCTGCTTGCAAGAGCACATCTCTTGCGATCCCTTGCTCCTTTTTGTAAGCCCGATCTTGCCCTTGTCACAACGTCATGTCCAGTTTGCATCAAACCGGCCTTTGGCAACTTTGGACAAGAGCAGTACTATATTGTTTTTTTTGCCTGAGGTGCTTCGTGGGTGTGGAATGGCATGTCCAATGTACAACACATTGTGCTTGCGCATTGAAGACCCAAGACCAACATCAAAATTAGTGCCCATTCGAGTGCTAAGAACAAACCGGCAAGACCCGTTGTAAAAAGGCCAAGACCGGCCTTGTTGTGGCTGGGTGTTTGCAAAAAGAATGTTATTGTCAAGACATGCAGAGGCTATGGTTAGCTGTGGCTTGAGCCAGCTTTCAAGCTTACGTTTGTGACTGCGCCACTGGCCACCTCTTGTGAGCCCTGCGGAGGCTTGCTTCATTGGCAATAGGAGGCCATTGCTACAAGTAACAAGAAGCCACTAGTAACAAAGGGCATCGCTACCAGGAGCAAGGACGCTACAAACGTAGCTCCTGGCCATACTACTGGTAACAAGAAGCTTCTAGGTTGGAGGCCATTGCTATTAGGTTGGAGGCTTCGTGTGATGAGCTTCGTGGAGCTCCATGACGTGTGATCCTCGTGGCAACCAATGGCGGCAGACCTGTGGCGTCGACACGTGGCAACTGATGGTTTCAAGGTAGTAGCTTCTTGTTACTACTAGTAAGGCACTTGTTACTAGAAGCGATGCACTTGTTACTAGTAGCTTCTTGTTACTACTAGTAAGGCACTTGTTACTAGAAGCGATGCACTTGTTACTAGTAGCTTCTTGTTACTAGTACCGATGCCCTTGTTCCTAGTAGCTTCTTGTTACTAGTCCAGCAGCCCCGAACGTAGCATCCTTGCTCCGTTCGTAGCGATGCCCGTGTTCTCAAGAATGAGAAAGTTCAAGGGAGACCTGTGGAGATTTGCTTTCTCGCACTTTGCATTGCTTTGTTAGATGTCTGGTTGTTTTTTTTGTTGATTCCTCCTTGCAACGACCTCTCTTTTTAGTAGCAGAACAGGAGTCGTTTTGGAGACTCCATGTTCTTTTCGTTCTTTCCTTTCCTTCCTTTCTTTGCTTCTTTTCTTCCTTCACTCTTCTATTTCATGCGTTCTTTCTCTTTGCAGGCTGACACCTGTGCCCAGAGAACTTGATGAACGCCATTTTCCGCTTTTGGGTTGCCTCTTTCCAGTGTTGGATGCTGGATGCAGATGTGGAAGCCAGCTCGTTGAGAGCGCAGCACTGGCCCTCGGCCTCCTGCCCCAACAAAACCCGACCTAAATGGAAGAACCACTGACCATTCACAACATCCAATGAGACCTGCATCAAGCTCAGACGCTTGCATCGTCCTTTTACAGCCTACTCCGTCGTCTGCCCGTTGGATCGAAGCGGCAAGGAGAAGGCTAAAACGAAGTCTGGGACTCGAAATATGTTCTTCCAGGACCCAAAAGCGTGTTGAGATGAAGAAAGGAAGAAAAGAAACCACAAACATGACGGTATAAAGGTATGATGGAAAAGAAGAAATGGGAACATCAATTATAATTTATAGACGTTTTTAAAGAACACAGAAACGAATTGTTCTTTTCTTGTCAAATAGAGTTCGTTGGTCCCATCGAGTTCGGGCTAGTGAAGTCAAAAAGGAGACGCACAAAAGTAGGAGAGACATGAATAAGTATTATAGAGCTGCTTCTTTTATTTGATTTCGTTGAATTTCTTTTGTTTGAGCACATCAAGTCGGATGCGGCTAAGAACTAAGGAAGGCAGTTCTTTTCTTCGCGCTTCAGAAACCAGCGCCAGGACGTGGCAAAGAGCCATGAGAAGTTAGACCATGCTCTTAAGAGCTACAAGGATGTGGCTGACAAGGAGTGTTTCTGAGAACTGATGTCGAACGACATGTGATAGTCATGCAAGAACGCGTTCGTTCGGTTTAACTACCCATTGGAAGGCATTCGATCCGACATGCCAAACACCGCTTACCAATACTTACAAGAGCGGTGTTTGATGCAACCATGTCGCTTTTTTTCCATGTTTTTCTTCCATTTGCTCAAATGACCATGGCCTGATTGCAGAGATTGAGGAGCAGCAGCGTGCTACTGAAGTCTACGAGAAACTAGGTCTTGAGACCAAGTCACTTCAATTGGACTTGAATTCTCCAAGTGACTGGGTCGTCCCCAAGTTTCCAACGATTAGGCGCCCAGCAGCCTAGCTTCAGCTAAAGTCATGAAGCTTGAAACCTGTTCAACTCTGTGCTCTTTTGTGAGAAGGGAAGGATCTAAGGATGAAGGAAAGAAGAAAGGGAAAAAAAACCATGGCCTCAAGGTCTGAAGAAATGGAAGAAGCGCAAACGACACAGGCAAAAAGAATGGGTCTAAAGGATTGCCTCCAACCTAAGAGCGATGGCCTCCAACCTAAAGAAAGCAAGGTCCAAAGGATTACAACTTCTCTGGATCTTATTGAAGTCGGACAAGAAGGAAACACACAGGTGCGACGACTTCAGGTGCTTACAAGAGCTCCATTGCCAAGCTCAGAAGCCCCCTTCAGCAGATCACCTCCCAGGCTGCGAGAACGAGACGTCTTTTTGGCTTCGATTCAACCAACTTAGAGGCAGCTTTCGCTCGTAAGATTGAACACAGCTTACTGTTCTAAGTGACTCTACTGTTCGAGTCAAGGCTTGAACACGGTCGTTCGGTTTTTCCCTTGTCCTTGGGACCTGTGGACCGTTCTCTTTGTGTCTTCCTTTCCGCCCTCTTCCTTTTCTTCGAAAAGATTCTTGGATGTTCATTTCCTTTTGATACCAAAGCCAGAGAGTCTTATGTAGTCCCACTTTGCCCGTGAATTCTTGCTCGAGAGGTACAGTAACGAGGCATCGGCTAGAGGCCCCCCTAAGGTGATGATAAAGGGCCACTCACCAGTGCCTTTCTTTTGTTGCTGTGCTTAGTTGAGGTCTTGGGCCACATTTTGAAGTCTGGCAGGCAAAGTAGCAAGCAGCAGTAGCAGGAGGGAGCACACAAAGCCCAGACACACAGCTGACTTAGTATTATAGCCTTTGCAAACTGTAAAGAAACCATCGTAAGCGTTCGCCTATTTGCACGCGTCCTTGTAAGCAGCAAGGCTTTGGCACTGACCATGAATAGTAGCGGCAGCGTTCCTGCAGATAGGAAGCATTGAAGACTTTAAGTATCAAAGCAGCGGCATTGTAAAGAAGAAGCTACTAGTAGCTCCTGGAAGCTACTAGTAAGCAACCTTGTTAACTTTGCACTTGAGCAGCATACTCCAAACCTGGTTTGGCCCCGTTTCCTTCGCAAAGAAACGCGGCCACTGTGGGACCATTCGATGACTGAAACTTCAAAGAGGTGAAAGAACTTCACACGAAGATGGCGAAGGTCTTGCAGGCGAGCAAAACGCGCAGTTGGAGCCAGGTTTTTGGATTCAAACGTCAGCATCTGGATAACTTGAAGCCAATTTTTTGTTCTTGTTGTGCATTTCATTTCACCACTTGTGAGTTGTCGACCTTTGGTTTTTGGGTATGAACTTGGAGTGAGGGAGCTTACATGCAAGAGGCTGCAGCATCACTGTGAGGATAAAAAACTGCCACGAAGTCGACTGTGTCGCCACCGGCAGCCACCGGGGCTTCTCAGGCGGATGAGAAGGAACGCCTGGAGCCGTTGAATAGCACGCGCCTGAGCTTGGTGCGATTTGGTGTGGAGTTTTAGGCAATACTGGCAATTTGGCGAGAATGAAGATGCTTTTACCAGTTCCTGTCTTTGCCGTCAAGCCAAAAACACTAAACGTGTTAAGTTGCCGTAGACATGGAATTATTCAAAGCATGTCGTTAATAAGAAACACTCTTGTAGGGAATTCATACTTCCAGATATGGGGCCTTTGATATTCTTGTTCAGAGATATGTGCTTCAAATTCCTGGCCAGAGCCATAAGTGTTCTTCTCAGCGTAAAGACATGTCCTTGTTGGAAAGACGACCCCTTCTGCTGTTACTACCGATTCGCAGAAGGCATTCTTGGCTACCTGATATGCTACTGAAAAAGAATACCATGATCTTGAGGTTTTAGCACAGAGCTTCTAAACTTCTGAAGAATTTGTTCTTTTTGGCTGTTCTTTGCACTAATGCCGTTCTTCGTAGTTAAGATGACATCGTTTCAGTCTGCACAAAGCCCACGCATTCCTGTATCTAGCAGCTCTAGCATGTTCGTCGCATCCTTAGTTCTCACATGGTTTGGTGCGGTCACCGGGAGGCCTAGAAGCAGAACTTGTAGCCTCCTTAGTCCTTGCAGCCGATCTGGCTGGACTTTTGAGAGGCAAAAGGTAGAAAAGAACAGGTTTGTCTTAAACGTATTGCTCTTTCCATGAAAAGTGAAGCACAGTCAATTGTTCCTGCCGTCTTATTCAGAGAGTGGAAACTTTGTTTTGTTTTCAATTGGCTGAGGGAAATGGCAAAACATGAGCTGATTCGCTGAGGGGCTGCTTGTTTTGTCACTGTGACAGGTGACAGACCGTTTCCACCAGAAAGAAGAAAAGCCGCGGAAGTTCTTCAGGGATATGTGGCAACATGATGCAACATGCATGATTGGGATGTGTTCAATTGTTTCGCAAGGCAAGACCCGAAGTTCCAAAGTAATCACGTGAATTGAAAAGGAAAGATATCAGAAAATCATCATGTGGCTGTTCAAGTCCGATGGTGTTCTTCGGATCCTGAGCCATCCCTTTTTGCTTCTTTCGGCTCCTTTTGGCTCCTTTTGGCTCGAGGTAGTATGGCGTCTCACGCGATCTCCTCCAAATGGCTTCTGCCGTAAAGACCGTGAGGAATGGCGAAATCGATGGCCCGTGCCAAGTGGAACAACTGCCCTGCCATGAGCCCTTTGAGCCCAAAGAACCTCGAGAACCACCTCGAAGTTCTGCGCTGCGGGGGCTTCTCTATCAAAGGGAGAGGTGGGAGGTTTTCCGTCGCACACAATGGATCAACTGTATGGCCACTGCATGGCCATTGTACTCCATTTGGTCGGAAAGAGAACCATGCACCATGATGAGTTGATTTTCGCAGCAGCGATGGAAGGCCTGCGAGAGACAGTAAAGTTCATTGGGATGAAGAGTGCATTGCCGAGCATGACAAGGCCGGTCATTCTAAGTCCACCCTAGCGATGGCCTCCAACCTAGCCAGGGTCATCTAAGTGCACAAGTGACGCACTCGTTTTGTGGCCAGGAGCGTGGCACACGTCAAAAGATTGACGAGACAAGCCCCAAGTGTGCCTTTTTAAGAGGTTGTAGACGTCGGGTTTTAGGGTCGGTGATTGTGTGATACGTAAAGGTTTTGTTACTAGTAGTAAGGCACTTGTTCCTAGTAGTAAGGCCCTTGCTCCTAGTAGCATTAATATTGTCTATATTCATTCTTTCTTTCGTATATTATATTTCTTTCAACATAAAGGTTTTGACTTTTGAGAGTCGGTAGTGTTGGAAGGCTTGTTGGCAAGTTCCGAGGCCGGATACTCCTTTCGTGCGAAGCCCGCAAGAGTCTGACGATGAGGCGTGAAATGTCGGGAGGAAAGCTCTGGAAAAGCGGATTTCCTACCATTGGCCTTTTGGTTTCAATGACAGGTCTTGGACTTCATTTACGTTTTAGGCCATCACAAATAAGGTTGGAGGCCATCGCTCTTAGGGCGGATGCCATCGCGACTAGGTTGGAGGCCAGCAGGATTTGTTCGCTTGAAGACTCTTTGTACCAAGGCCACAATGCCAAAGAGGAATGAACTGTAGCCACGTTCCTTCCCTAATTGAGCCTATTGGGATTCCGGGGTCGTGTTCTTTTTTCCAGTCTTACCGGTCCTCTTCACGCCTGAAGGCGCAGGAGAGCGCCAGTCGAGCTCAGCCAATCAGGTGCCCTGACCCACCCTGAATCGACCAGTGGACCCAGAACGTTGATGAACGTTGGTGATTCTAAGAGAAGCTAGGGCTAGAACCTGTGATACAAATGGATGATGCACATGGTGATAATGGATGATCCCTTGAGTTGTTGCATGTCTCTCCAATGCCGTCGTGCAGTCGTGCGGGAGCTTGCAGGCACGTCAAGGTAGCATCTCAGGTTGGCTCCTCAGGGATCTTCTCGATCTCAGCAATTTGACCCTCGTGCATTGCTACTAGGAGCCAAGGGCATCGAAACTAGTAACAAGATGTAACAAGAAGCTATTGGCAATTAGAGTCCTTGCTCCTAGTAGCGATGCCCTTGTTACTAGTAGCGATGCCAGGAGCTACTAGCAGCGTCCTTGCTAAAGCTGTGGCTGAGCGGTGTCTAACCTAATCTAATCGAGCTGCTCTGAAAACATCTGAAAACGCACAGCGTCCGCACCTATCAGCGAAAGTTGGGATGCCAGTCTCTCAAAAATGGTGCCGCTTTCAGTGAACATGACGTGGCTCTCGTTTGGGGTGCCGAGCGCACCGTCAACGAAAACCGGAAAACTTTCTACAACGAAGAAAGCAGGCACACAGACGCCTGGCACATACGCACTCTGGAGTTCAAGACGCTTGGGAGGCGTTCCACTGTTACTGTTTGGACGATCTTCAGACAAGCCGCCTTTGCATGTCCCGAGCCCTCCAGAGTGCGCTGGTGTTGCGCTTGACTTGCCTGGGGCCTGGACGCTACGAACGGAACAAGGACGCTACGTTCGGGGCTCCTGGCCTTACTACTAGGAGCAAGAAGCTACTAGGAACAAAGAGCTGGCCACTGCTTATGTCCAGCACCTTGCATGTAGCAAGCACACATGGTAGCACGCACACTGGAAAAATTGCCTTCGTCGCGTGCTAGCAACGCTTTCGGACATGTTTGTTGTTCTTTAGTCTAAACCCCTGTAAGTCAAGCACAGTTTACAAGCAGAAAAGTTCCAACTTTTATTCACTGTTTGTGAACATGCAAAAATCACAACTGTAAGACTCTGGGTCTGAGGCGGCTGAAGATGATGAAGAAAGGAGCACTCCGAAACACAACAGCCTTTTGAGTCTTTGAGGTGCTTGGAATACAGGCAACTTGAAACACTCCGAAACTGTCAGGAGAACGATGTCCCCGCTGTCGCCAGATGGAATGGCGCCCAAACTCAATCATTTCATGACTGTCCTTTTGAGAGACGGACCTGGAAACAATGTCATCCATGGTCAGTCAAACCGGATGCACAACAAAATGACTTGTTTGCTATACAGGACTGTATGAAGAGTGATAGTGACTTGCTGTTTTGCTCCCAGGCGCTGTTGACAGACAAATTGAATCGTGGATTGCAATTCGATGTCCACGAAGGCACATTGGCTACATGTGTTGTTTTGTCAGTTGCAAGAACATATTGTTGCTGGAGTGCTTACCTACAGAAACCATTTCTAAAAGGAAGGTCTGAATCCTTCAGTGCCGAGTGCCTTTATGTTAGTTTATTAGTGTTTATCCTCAGGTCTGTTGTGGATGCGAAGATTGACATTTGAGTCCTTTTTCTCACTGGTCTAAGCTTGGGTAGTTGAACAAAACTGCGTGAAGCCTCGAGCCCTAACCCGCGCTGGTCGGGTCACCGCGGGGCGGTGGCGGTTCTTCTTCCCCCCTTTGTTAACTAGTAGCGATGCCCTTTGTTTCTAATAGCTTCTTGTTACTACTAGTAAGGCACTTGTTACTACTAGCGATGCACTTGTTAACTAGTAGCTTCTTGTTCGTAGTAGTGAGGCCAGGAGCCCCTAGTAGCCTCTTGTTCGCAGTAAGAGGGCTCCGTTCATAGCGATGCCCGGAGCCCCGTACTGATCGCTCCTGATCGCTTCTGATCGCTCCTAGTAAGGCCCGTGTGGCGCCCCCGTTCGGGTTCGATTGCCGCGATGCCCGTCCTTTCCGAAGGCGAAGAAGATCTCCCATCGAAGGATGACTGGAGGCGCTTCGCCGCCGCGCTTCGCCGTGGCGATGCGAAGAGAATGGGACAGTCCAAGGGGTCGAGGATGGTAGTGGCTATCAGCCTGAACGACAGAGAAAGGTCTACATGTCAGCTATATTAGATATAGGTCTAAAGATGAAACAATAAGGCCCCTGTAACAGTTCAGCTTGAAAAAAGAATGTAACAGAATGTGTGTTTGAGCAGTATTGGAATCTCGGGTCAAACGGAAATGTGCAAAGACACAAAAAAAGCACGGCAACACTGGCACCTCCACAGCCCGATGTGCTTTGTTTGGATTAGCAGTTTCTGAAGCTGCTTTCACGCGACTCTTAAGCACATTTGGTTTGGCTGAACACAAGTTTCAGTGGCACTGCCCTGAGGTCTAAGCGGAACGCGCACTACCGTGATATGGCAGCGGCCTTCCGTAATGCGCCTTCGGAAGTGTGCGCCTCAAAGTTACAACCTTTTTGCAAATCAGCGTGAGAGGTATGTAAACATGGTTGCTCACCTCGTTTCTTGGAACCTGTTTGGGAAAGTACATTTTGAGCAGGTCATATCTTCAAAAGCCAAGCCGTTTTGTTGTATCAAAATGTCTTAATTGGCCAGAGGCTTGTGTGGCAGACATTTCAGCAGTGAGCCGACACACGTTTATATATAGCGCAATATTACTGTTACATGAATAAGATATTCTGCCAATGTCCTTCTAAAAGGCTACAATGCTAGGGGACGTGGCGGGAATGTTTGAATCAGCCATAAATAGAATGCCTGCAAAAAGTCTTTGACAAGAGCCTGGTCTACTTAGTGTGTTTATTGGAATTGCCACTTCTCCCTGCCAATCCTTTCGTTGCCTTTCCTTTGTTCCCATCCTGCTTGTTTCCTTCCCCTTTTCTTCCTTGACTTGCATCTCTACCCGACCCGACCCCCTGCCTTTTCCTGTTCCCTTCCTTTTCATAAGCTCCTGGACATTTTGTTGGTTGCGAGGCACTCTAAGTCTACACTTTCCTTTGCCATGTTCGTTTTTGGGTAGCGGCATTCCAAGTGTGACTTCTTCCCTTACATTCTGGTGGGTTATTTCCTTCTCGTACCCTACATTTGTCTTCGTTTCCTTTCCTTTATTCATGTCCTGCTCATTTCCTTGCCCTGTTCTTTCCATTTTCTTCCTTGACTCGCCCTTCTGTCTCTTGCCTTTGTTGCTTTCCTCCCCTTTCATGAGACCTCTTGACACTATGTTTGCTGTAATGCTTCAATAAGTCAGACTGCCAAATTCGCCCAAACGCTCCTGGAGAGTGGTGGCATTCAAAGTGCAACCTTTTCTCGCCATGAGTATGTTTGTTCCGTTCTTCGGCTTCCTTCTCCTTTCCTTTCCCTTCCTTCTTGCCCAACTTGCCCATTTCCCTTCCCGCTTCTTCCCCCCTTCTCCCTTACTTGACGCCCTGTTTATGTCCTACCTACCTCCTCTGGTGCGTATGTTCTTTCCCGTGTCCTTCCTTCTTTTTTCTGGCCGGCCTATACATAGATGGAATATGAATGAGTATGACTGCCCAACTCAACTTTGTAATGTAGGGCAACTGGTAGGCAGTCTCAGCCAATAAAGTTGACAGGGCATTCGAAGCCACGAAGCAGGTTTGGCATGTCATTCTATTTGTCTAGTCGGGTGGTAGATCCGAAAATAGATGGAAATAGACAGCTTGAAGTTTCGAGTGCTTCGTCCCCCCCCAAGGCAATATTGCAAGATGGAAGCCCCGTGAACACCTTGTCAGGCAAATGCGGACAACATTCAGTAGGTACCAGCAAATGGCATATTTTTGGGCGGCGCTTGTCAGAGTTGGAACTCAATGCGCACGGGGTTTTGGTTCAAAGGACTGCGGCCTACAACCTAATAGCGCACACACACAGATCAATCCATCCCCCTGCAAGCACATGAGTGGAACACCCTCATTGGGCAGATCCCGGATCGAATCATATCGCCTACAGCAGACGGCACCCACCCATGGAAAGCCAACATCGATCGCTGCACTGGAGTGCCTAAACATGGTTCTGGCGATGTCTTTGGTTCTGGCGAGATTGGATCTTGTGACCTTTCAATCAGAACACAAAATTCCCTAAACGCAATTGGTTTGTTGCTCTTTCGTCATCTTTTTCTTGACCGTCCTTTGTCTCTCTCTAGAGACTCAGTGTTCGAGACTCAACTGATCTCGACACAGGTTGCAGGTATCAGTTCTGCTGCCTACGTGTATCTATAAACTCATATCCGGTCAAAGAGTGCGTATGAGAGACTATGATTCGTGTACTTGCTATGGTCCCTTTTGCAACTATGTACAACAAGGATCCAGCCTTTGCACAGGTTCTGCACCAAAAGTTGTTTTCTTGTGTGTGTGTGTTTGAAAAGCAGGGTTTCTGTTGTCCCATGCATGTACAACAACCTGCCACTGACTAAGGATAGTGAAGGGAGCGACAGTGATTGATGCTTTCCAGATGTAGTCTCACCCCTCAACTGCCTTGCTGCAAAGCTTTAGAGCTTTGAAGTTTTGTCACGGCTTTCAAGGAAAATGCAAACGCCTTTTTATGATAGGTTTGAACGGATGTTTTCCTGTTGCTGTGGCAGCTTGTGGGATTGTCTTCCGTCCAGATATCCCCATCAGTTCCTGTAAAAGACAACCAGTGTTCATGGTTCAGCTGGACGGCATGGGAATGGATAGTGTCAAGGAACAGACGCTTTTCCTCACCGTAGATGGCAAAAACGATTGGAGTGTGGTCGTTACTACTAGGGTGGAGGCCATCGCTAGTAGGTTGGAGGCCATCGCATTGAAAGACACCTCTGAAAATCCATGTATTGCTTCCAAGTGCAATCGGCCCCTTTTGCCATCTGCTTTAGTAGCGCCTGGCGAAGATGTTGAAGTTGCGTAGCAGATGGATTTTCCAAACTGTGGCAGTAGCTTGGCATGGCCCAGGCTTTGTTCATTCTGCAGTCCTGAAGGCGCCAGTGCGAAAAAGTTGCGCAGTTTAAATTGGACAGCAGAAAATAAAGATGCCAGTGAATGGGTTGTTCCTTTCCTATGCGGAAAGCCTATTCTCTTTGAAGACCATTGCTGTGCCACTGGCTTCATGATTGGGCCTTTTTTTCCTCCTTTGCTGCGTTTTAGTGTGCAAACATGTTTTAAATCGCCTTTTTTTTGAACGAGTTCTTTGCCGCGCTTCCCGCAGCATCACTACGGGCGCGGTGGATATCTACACATTAGTGATGTATTCCAGGCACGAACGACTGGGCAAATCTCACAGAATCAGGTGCACCTCGCATCTTACAGTCGCACATGTAGGTTGTTCATGGGACACCTCTTCGCAGCAATCATAACCCATAAGGAGTACAAGGCCTTGGCGCAGCAAGGGCGATGGAGGTCACTACTCTTCAATGATGTCTTGGGACTATGAACCTAGTTACTAGTTTGCACCACACCACAGAAAACCATATTCCTACCTATGCCACAATATATAATTCAGAAATACATTGAGCGGTGCCAAAAACCTTTGGAAGAAATTGATGAGCAGCAGATGGTTGGGCCACTGCATAACAACACCCATCGAAGCAGCCTCATTTTAAGATGCACTGTGGACTTATTCCCACCCAAGAATGAGCAGGGCCAAAAAGACCAAAGCCTGAGCCTTGCAAGCCTTGCCAAGATTCATCAACACGCCGTGGGAGGTGGCTGGACAATGTGGGAAGGGAACTGGCCAAAGAAGAAATGAAGGTGTTGGCAGCACTGCAGGGCAAAAATGGCAAGGTAGGGAGGCAAGCTGATCCCATCAACAAGGTCATCCTTTTGTACAGGCTCAGGAAGAAGCTTGACACAAGGAAGGTGGCTGTCACCGGCAGTATCTTCATTGGTGAGGTATGAGTCCGTTGATTGCCCCTTGCACCGCCAAGCTTTGAGGGACTTTGCCAAGAGGGAAGATGCTACGAGACGAACGGAGCAAGGACGCTACTAGTTACTAGTAGCTCCTGGCCATACTACTAGAAGCAAGGACGCTACTAGT